ACGGCACCGAGACGACCGTCTACGGCACCTAGTATGAATGCGGCCATTCACGTGTGACCCCATTAGAGCTCTTCGCGCACGCAGCATCGTTTCAGTACGTTTCTGTTGAGATGGACCTAATAAATTTGCAGTAGTCCAAGGCTTCACCATGAATAGAGCAAATCTTTTTACTGTGGCCAAAAAGCCCTTCCGAAATTGAGAATTCACCTCACAGGTCAAAAATTTACTTGCCAAACGTTTAAAATAAGAATACCTTCAAATTTTTTGATCCTAGTAAACGCAATTCTTCTGTGAACGTGTACAGTTGATCATTTCTTTACTTATTACACTTATAAGTTCTTATTTATTTCGTTATGATGGTAGGCATGATGTTTTAGCGCGTTTTGTCTGATGACCTCATTATATTGACGCGTGAATCGCACCACACCCCGGGATTCCTGCTTACACATGAATCCATCTTCTGTGATAAACGACTATTCCTTCTTTTTCTAGGCTTCTATGAGCTTTTTAATCAAAACTTTTACTACAATTCTTGATTAAAAGTAATTTTATGTGAAGTAAACGAACTAATAAATAAGTTAAGCTCATGAGCGTGTTCCTGAATTGCCGGGAAATTAGTTTGTTGGTTGCACTGGTTAACTACCATCTGATGAACATGATTACAGAAAATCTGAAGATTACGTCAACACATGACGGACAAGAATAAGAGACTCAATATGATCCTAATTACGAACGTTGCTCGCTGCCGAAGGAACTCTAAATATAATAGACCGAGTCTTTACAGAATCAAACGAAGAAGGAAAAATAAGAAAACCTGAAGTTGCCACTCAGTATTCAATATATGCAATATTTCAGCAAATTCTGATTGTAGAACATGAAAAAGACCCAGACCTTGCCAGCAACGGAATTCAAACCTAGCCAGCAACGGAATTCAAACCTAGCCAGCAACGGAATTCAAGTAAAAAAAACCGCAGCCGTCAATTTAACTGTCTTCTTGAAGCCTCAGACAATGTTGCATTGCTTACGTCATCTCCGTCAACGGCTTCAATGTTGCGTATAAGTACCTCAAATCGCGTCGTGTAATTGCATGAACTAGCCGGCTACCGTCACCTTACGTCTAGTTTTCATTTCTGGATGATGCAGGGCTAGTGGGATTTATGCCTTCAAATGTCGTTAGTGAACCTTTTTTCGTAACTGTCGTGTCTACTAGGATCAAGTCTATATTTCGCACACGTTAACAACGTTTGTCATCATAGTTTGATCAATGGAAAGAACTCTACGGTCATAAGAGGTGTAATCGCAAATGAAAACTTGAAAAAGTAAAGAAACGTCGCTCAGAAAGCTTCCTTCACGCGGCTATCTGCACATTTGTTGTTTATCAAGCGTGCATTACCTGAATCATGCATATGCCATTCTCCGGAACTTCCACATGAAAGTATTGGGTTAGATCAGAGACAAAATGTTGCCGGAGGAATGCGTCTTTTGTCGTACACGCGCTCTGGTGAAAGGACGTAGGGACACAACGATGGTAAATGAGTGCTGGGCTAATGATCTTTTATCAGAAGGATTTCAGACTTTATACAAGTCGTTCGCACTAGTGCAGTTCCGCAGTAACCTTTACCTATATTGAGTGCAGAAATTGATCGGGCAGTTTTAGTTCCTTCAGGTGCAGCTACTAGGAGCAGTTTCAGAGCGTTGAAGACTGCGGCAGAGAATAAAGAATAACTTGAGCACAAGGGCGAAGGCAGAACAAAGCCCACGGAGCCGCCCCACTGACACCAGGGATAAGAAAATGAGGCGTAAAGATACGGTAGCCTCGTGTTGTGCGCATTTGCACAGCGCTACCAGAGGTGTTTTTACGTGACACTCGGGGCTGCGCATTGAATTGTATTGCTATTTTAATTTTTTAATCAGTTGCACTCTAACCTTCCTGTATGAATCACGAGAGACATAGTTAATTGCCCTTTCCATTTGAAGGTTTTGTTGGATGTTGGAATAATCTATAGAACGTGATATATGAGCAACTCAAACTCCAATAGCGGCCCGGTTCCAGCCAGAAGAACGTTGCATGCTGAGAAACAAGGAAGCGGGCCTTCGGTTGGTTTCTAACATTCTTCTTCGTGCAGAAGTTATTATTATTGGGTATAGTCATGTTGGTTTGAGGCCTCAATTAGAGTCTTGTATGGTTCAGACCGGCCTCCTTATCAATGTTATCCGATCGCTGACCACAAGTGTTTCTGAGGATCAGCGTGAATTAGAAAAATCGCGATTGCAAAAAGGATTCCAGGAATCTGAAGCACTCATCGATAAGTTAGTCAAATGTGAGTTGTGTTTCTTAAAGATTGAAAGCCAGGAAACACACTCAAATTAGAAGGAATTCAAGTACTCTTTGATTTTAATTCTGATGCTAAAGAGAACACTCACCATGTGATGTCGCGTTGCCTGTCACGGCTCGCAAATTTCATTTTGCCGTCTGTTTTCCGGTTTCGATTTTTCGTCTCTTCGTGCTTCGATGTCAGGCTCTGTTCATTCCTTCTATTCCCTGAACTACTTGTGTCTTGAAAAATGTCGTCTAAATTGGAAAATTCTAATCTATAGTGATTGGAGTGTCTTAACCTTGCGAAAGCGTGTGCTCGTTTTACCTTGCAGTCATTTCAGCTCATCAGCATGATGTTGAGGAATGTCTTGACTCGTTCAGAGATGTTTCCACGCGAATATCAGGTATGCATTGAATGTTTTGTTAACATTTCTTTTATCGTCCTATGGGTAAGGTGGAGATAGAATTGACAGTAAGCACCTGCTTAAAGAGAGCTCGCCTCCAAAATTTGTTTTCAGCGTGTCGTGAACGAATTCACAATGTTCGAAATGCTCTCCACACTTGTAAAACCCATTTGGAGTGTCGACGTGACGATCTGAAAAAGCTCTGGCTTGAGAATTCACTACAAAAACATATCTGTGAAATAATGGCACAATTGTAATTTTTTAAAGTTATTACCTACATTTCTTTGTACATAATTACGAAAGTACAATTTTGAATTCTGTTTGTGTGTGAACAGTGCTCTTTGAAGAGATGAATTGAAAGAGGCTCCATCGAAGATTGACACTCTTATGAATCAGGGAAACTATACGGATGCAGCCAAGATAACTAGCACATCAAGTTAGTTACTTTATCCTCTTCAACTTTATGTATTGGACTCACTGTTCGCATCCCAAAATCGAGTTTTTATCTTGTCAATAAGCTCAACTCGTCCACTTTTTACTATTTTCTATCTTCTTTCACTATCGGGATGTGTTTTGAGCATTGCTACTACTTTAGGAGACCTTTTGAATGGACGACTATCTAAAATCGAGGGCTTGTGCCAACTGCGCACTATGATTCGGGAAACTTCCGAACGTCTGAGCGAAAAGATTGTCGATCAAATCGTCGATATCCTGGTTGTGGATCCATTCGAACATCACGTAAGTTCAGTAGTGCCCCAAAGACAAAGTATGGGTATGCCTACACTAGTTTGTATGCAGATGTTCGACTTGGTTCAAGCGATGCCCGAGCAACGCGTATTGGAATCGGAACAGTGCTCTCGTCTTCATGATAAGGTAAGGATTCTTCTAGGGATTCAAACCTTTTGATATGGTTTCCATTGACTGACTTCATTTTGCTCGTTACAGGCGAAGTTGTCTCGTTCCCATGAACCAGTGGAAGCCCGTCTTCGCCTTGCCGTTGCAGCTCTTTCAGAGTTAGGTGGCGGTTCTGTGGATATGGATCGTGTAATGTCCTTATCCAGAGCACAAATCGACAAGCAGGTAAGCGATCTTTAAGGTAGACTTTCATATTGCTTCGATTCTAATTTTAGGTAGCCGCATCCGTATCCCTCATGAGAATCCGTGCTACAATCGATGAGAACTTGGCTGGAGATCAGACTCACTTGACGCAGCTTGTTCAAATGGTTTGCCTCACCTGAGTGATATTCTCAAAGATTTTCATGTAAATAGAACTTTTAAGATTGTTTGTCAACTGGAATCGTCACGAACGGCTCATAAAGTTCTTGAGAAAATCTGCGAAGAATCGCCTTCAAGTACCAAAATAATGAAATTGTACTGGGAAGGTGCCCAGAATGCTGTAGAGGTGAGTTTCACGGTTCTTATTAGTCGGAATATTTCCTCGACGAAACTGCTTTCCAGGCGCTTGTCTCTGATCACTTGGATATTACTCCACTTGCTGCGAAGGAGCCGATCGATTCAAAGAAACCGCTGTTTCGATTTGATGCCACTGCATTTGCGAGTGGAACATCGACCACTGATCCGAGTTTGCAGGTGATTGCAGTCGTAACTTCAGCGAATTGGCGAATTGGTCCTGATCGTTTTCTTCGCCTTTCGATTGTTCCATGTGAATATAGTCCAAGTGCGAATGGTGAGTAGAGATGTTACAGAGCCCTTTGGTTGTTTGCCGTCCTTCTGCATTCAATATTGTGCCAATGTTTCCCTGGCTGCGTAAGCTGATGGATTCTATCGAGAAGGAAACGGCCGAATCTCCATGTCAGTTGAGGTATGCATAATATCGCTACAGTAATCTGCAGGGCTGCATTTTTTCTGTTTTTTTTTNTTTTTTTTTCTTTTTTGAAGGCGCTTTTCCGACTACAAAATTCATTTCTCCGAAAATTTTTCCAGACGCTTCGTACACTCCTTCGTTATGGAGCTCTTTGTGGAACGAGTGAAAGCAGGGCTTGCTGATCGTATTGAAAACGCCTTGAGGAGATCGGACAATACACGGCCCAGAACTAGTGTTAACTCGGTACGATTGAATTGGATCGTTAGATAAAAAAATCCATAAAAAACGGCCAAAGATTCTCCAGAAAGTACTGCCATCGTGCGAACGCGTATTGGAACTTTGTCAAGAGGTACACGGTTTGATTGTATCCATGGACTTGTATGCAGACAGATTTGCTGCTCTCTGGTTACTTGTGCTGACTGACTACAATAAGAACGTCACGGATATGTATGAAAGGGTAAGACGAGTTTTTTTTTTCTGTTTGCTTCGTACAACTGCTCGGGTCGTAATTCAGACTACAAAATCGCTTAGCGAAATCGATGGTGTGGCTTCGAGACGAAAAATCAGTGCTGCATGGGCTGCCGATGAAGATATTTCAAGGTAATCTCCACCAATACCATTTCCAGAACTCGCTGTTTTCAAGAATTGCTCTCCCGTTTCCTATCTCTCTTGCTAATTTTCTGAGGCGTTTTGTGAGAGGTGGAGATCCTAAGCCCCGTCCATACCTTTACTTACCTCGGGGGTTCGATTTAAGATTCCTTGGTGGTGACGTTCAGTGGTATCTTGTTGCGTGCTCAAAGTTTACTGTATCTCCAGTATACTGTCGTTCAGATTACTTATGAGTCTTCCCAACTGGTTGATGGCCGCCACAGAAGCTACTCCAAGTACGCCGAGTGTACCGAATTTCGAAAGCGAGAAGGTAACGTCGTTTGGTCTTCTTTCGTTCTTAGCTCATAGCGCTTTATCCGCCACCAATGTAAGACTTTTCACGAAATCATATTCTTCGTGTTTAGGATATCCGCCAAAGGAACGAACGAGAATCAGAAATTCTTATTGGAAATCTCGCGACACAGAAGAAAATTGAGCGTGCCGAACTGTTGACCGATATATCGGATGTGCGATCCCTTGCCGCCTTACATGAAAGCTTAAGATGGTTTGCTTGCGAGGTATGTTCAATAAATAGATCCCATGGTTCTATATCTGCTCATATGTGATCCTTAGGTCCGTCGCCTGATCAACTCGCTTCCTCAGCATGTGAAGACGAATCTTCGTGGATGTATGGTCCAGGTTCGATTCAAGGATGGACAGATAACCGATAACGTAAGAACAAGTGAAATTGAATAGGTAGTTTCTGACTGAGACACGGTGCTTCAGGAACCTGTTCTGGATGCTATGGAGGATTGCATCAGTCGATTGGATTCTATTTCTGACACTTGTTTACTGATGTTGCATCTTGAACTGCGTGTTCACTGCTTCTTCCATTTGCTGCCGTTGGCTCGTCCGAGAAATGTCAGCGTTCATGAAGAGCTGGATGCAGAGGTATGAACAGCATTCATTACAGGAGTGTTCCCTATTAATCCGACCGTTCTGAAGGGGTTCCTTGGATTATGGTTCATTTTTGTTGTCAGTTTGCTGGACTTCCTTCAGTTTGAACTCCTTTTCATTTTTCCTCCTCTTGAGCGTTCCATTTATTCGGCTCTTATGGATGGTTTTTCCGTTATGAAATAGGATTCATGGTGTTTGTAGGTAATCGAGCTTGGACGTGATCTGCAATCATTCCATCAATTGCTATCCTCAATTCTGTCACAACCGAAGCTTCGATACATTTTTGACGGTCTTGGTCATCTTTGTGCTGCGATATTCATCCACTCTAGGTACCGTACCACTCTCGAATTGAATTTTTTCAAAATTTATATCGATTTTTTGCAGTCAACATATGCCACGATTGTCCGAAGCTGGCAAAAAACGTGTCTGTCGCAATATTTGGGGCGTTCAACAACGACTATCCCAAATCACATCACGTCGTGAAGCAGAGCTCGATCGGGCTCGAGCATTCTTCGAACTTCTTGCCCATGAACCTGATCATCTTCTCGCACAGTTGCCAGATCGTCGATCCCAATTTACTCCTGTTGAAATGGGACATCTCGTCGCTCTGTCGGTACGCTCTCATCCAACTCTGTCCAGTCAACATGGTGCTCTTGAACAACGCCTTGCACAGCTTTCATCGCTATTGAAACAACCGGTTTGAGTAGTAACGAGATTTTTATATGTTTCTATTGCACGCTCTGGAGAATGTTTCCCATCAGCTTTCTATTTATTAATAAAAATTATACCTTCATGTGTTTTGCGCAAAATAAAAAAAAAACGTTTCGGGGTGCAATGGCACAGTGAGAAAGACGAGCAAGCGCACTTCTACGACAAAAAAAAGTTGGATTCCGTTAATTGTGAGTAAGCGAAATAGACATTGTCAGGTTCCCCTTCAGGCCGATTATAAAACAGTTTGAGCGTACCAGTGTAGGGACCCAAAACACATCCAATTATCTCTACGACACGAAAAAAGGGTCAAAAGCACGGCTCAATATGGCAACGGCTATATGAAGTTTCAGGTGCACCAGATAGCCTAATGGCTTGGTAGGCGATAAACAAATACAAAATATTTGGCAACGATAATTATGCAACAGGTTCATTAGCAAATACTCTTGTTTGCAACAAAAGCACTATGGCAATCAATCAATAGACATCTATTAAATAGATCGATCTAGGCGTCTAGTTTTTTACGTCGAGGTAAAGAAAGAGATAACGACAAAGCGAATACAAGTAATTAAAATCTCTAAGTTTCTATAATAAAACTCGCTCATTCATTGGAATCCTTTAGGTGAAGTGAGCGGGTGTGTGTAGGAAGATATGAGCGTTGGCAATTATAGCACAGAAGTAAAAGTATACACAACAACAAGTAGCCACACACAGCCACATACATATGTAACATACAGTACAACACACCCATGGGTAAACCTTGTTAGAATCTGATTGGCATCACTTTTGGGAGCGATTTTACAAAGAAGCATGGGAGCTTGATCAGAACTTCTTAACTACACTTTCGCCTGACGATGGAGCTAACCTTGAAACCAGAGAAACGGAAAACGGAAATCGGAATATCGGTCAAACCTCGCACATTGGGGTGCTACCCCAGGCTGCCGATAGCTAGTAAGCTGCTCATTGACAAAGCTCCCTTACTTTCCGTATAAAACCTACTCCAATTTGATATTTCGAAGGTTAGTGCATCACAACACGCAATGAAAGGTTATCGAAACACTTCCTATTCATTAATTTAAAGAGCGATTACCTATGTACATAGTAATTACTTGTTAGTATAGAAGTAAAGGGTAGTTAGAATAATCCTGCCTCTTTTTTTAATCGAATCTGTTTCCATGCAGGTAATTTTGCGAATTCTTCTTCAGACATAGAGAAAACGCTTCGGAAATCTTCTGATGAGAGATACTGTAACAAGTTTTTCGTGTCAATCCCTTCTGGAAGAGATGTTCGTGATCGAAGTGCTTCAACGGTGAACGTCTGCGTCCTTTCGGCTATCAGATCCTGTAAGAATTACTGTCTCAGAAGTTGAACTCTATCAGTAACTGAAGAGATGGGATACCTTGAGAGGTCTTGGTGGCGACTGTGGATCGTATCCCTCGGGCCATTCATTCCACTCAGCAAAAAGGGCCATGAACTCTTCTGGCTCTTTGCCCTTTCCAATCACCGTAACGTCGCCCGTCCTGCCTTTCCAATACAGATCCGCAACTCGCAGAGCGAAGGTCGTGGGAGTACGCTCGTTCCAAATCCATAACCGGTCACCGACATCGACAAGGATGGTGTCTACGAGGGCAGCCTGTATAGCTGGAAATGGGCAGTACTGGTGGTACTGAGCGCTGAGAACTTCGGCAGCTTCAAATTCGAAGATTCGAAAGAGACGAGGAGTCTTCGTCCTGCCAACAGCTTTGATCCACTTAATCTTGGGGTCCTCGCCTTCCGTTTGCGTTTCTATACGTACAGACTCCTGTAATGCTACAAGAAAAATGAACATAAAAGTTTAGACGAAATTTTGAATAGTAACGTGTCAGCAGTAGAAAAACAGTAGGGTCACCGGTAAGCAAGAAATGAGAACCTTCAAGTTGAAGACATTCCGAAGTTCAGACATTGCTTGCGCTAATACCAGTCCATTTTTCACCATCACCCTATCCGCACATGATCCTAAAAACAAAAATCTTTTCGTGGTTACTACCTTAGATTTGAAAGCAAATCGAAGTTGTCATAAATTTAGTTATGGATAGCTTATAGACAGCAGAGACGTAAGTTCTAATAATGTTACAGTTATGAGAAAAATTACTTTTTTTCCAAAGACCGCACGACAGAGTAGAGTTCTAGGAGTCGAGAGAAGTTTGGATTTTTTGATATGAACTATTGTCCATTACTATCACTAATCAATCTATTATTGTGACTCTTATCATTACTACAACTACTTGAAAAACCTAGAGATGTATATCTATTTGCATGATTCTATTAATACAGAGTGCAATTAATTTTTGAAAAATAAATAAATGAATAAAATGGTAATATAACTCGAAAACAACCATTATGCCGGGCACCAGCATGGACCCACTATGCCTGCCATTTTGAGGCTGTTTAGGTGGTATCAGATTCATTTGTGAGCATGACTTGAATCAGCCTACCTACACATCTGCTAGTCATCGCAACTCACTGCCTAGACCACATACGCATTCAAATGCCTGATTCTAGGTGGAAATAGGATTTACTCATAGCTCTCACCGAACTTATCTTATCATCAAACTCGGGACCTGATTTTTTTCCTTCGAAAAATTTTGTATGATAATGTGTAAATACGCCTACGTCTGCAAACAATCAAGTCGAGAATAGGCACGAACCGGCGATAACCGTGATTGATTCTGGAGCGACCCTCAGATAGACGGCATGGGATCGAAGTGGTGGAGTCGCATCGATCTCATTGGCATAACTTTCAGCTGATGAACATCCACCAACGAAAAATACCCGCGTAGTAGACGTCTCCGACTCTGAACGCCTGAAATCAAAACTTCAATTTCTGGATACGAGGCATTGCTTCATCATTGAAACTTTTTATAACAAGAAAATATGACACTTAACCTTACCGAACGATGAATTTCCCATGGAAGAGGCTGAGAAACAATGGAGGCTCCGAAAGATGGGCAACACGAACATGTTGATGTTTTTCTTTGTCCATATGTGACAATCGTACAGCACATAACCCTTGCTGCTTCGGAGACGTCTTGGCACCGAGCCAGTAGAAGAACGCTACTCGTTCTCGACCTGTTTCCTTTTCCGACAGCTGACCAGAACGAAGACGACGAATTCCTGAATCAAATGCTCGATCAACAAATCGATCAACAAATTCTACTCTCTTGTAACTCACTTCAAATGCTACTACAAAAAGTGAGAGGGTAGATGGACCAAAAAATCAGAAAAGGAGTAAAGGAACAAGACACGAGCTACGGTAAGTAGAAGACATTTCGGGAGGGGAAGTTTAAAAACGTAAGTTCTAAAACCAGACACGCCCGTGATCGCGTTAAAGCCACTGATAACAACGCTGCTTCGCTTACTTATTACCTCATGCCATTCTTGAGGTACGTGCGATCTTTGGAGTTTTCACCTAACTGATTAGTTATCCTAAATATAGTCACTCTTTGAATTACGAGTTATTTAGGCAATAATCATGATGAAGGCCGGAAAACTCCGAAAAACGTTCAAAAACCACAAACAACACATCACGAATAAGTTTTATCGAACCAGGCCGCTACGCAGCCGCACGCGTCCCATCACTTAATCATCTGTTGCATTATTTTATACCCTTACATAACGCCAAAAAAGTTGTGCTGTACTGACCTGAAGTTTGAATTCGGTACTGCCAACGTATCACATAGCAGCTATCGTCGACAAAAACATTCGTCTGTTCGATGGGCTCCAATTCTTCACCAATCAGTTGCCAAAATGTCACACTTTCGGTGACAACATCTTTCATTTCACGGGTCAGCTCTTGGTCTTCTGAAATAGTAGAATTTTCCTTCAGAAATTACACTTCTCAGTTCACAATTTGTAAGTTATATTCCTGCCAGACCAACGAAGTTCTTCAGCTTATTCAGACTTTGAAATAATGGGCTGAAACTAAATATCAGAAAGATTTGTCTCAAGAGGAAATGAATTGTGTCAAGACGATCGAGTAGTCTCCGAAGATCACACTGAACGAACCCTACTCTCCAGTCCTACAGCTTTTAATGAGGAGATTCCAAATTTATATAATTTTTTTAAATCACGATTTGATCGGCTTGACAGCAAACATAGGAATTGGTAGGAAATCCGCAATCGATTTAAAACAAAGTGAAAATGACCCCCTAAAGGCTTCTGTCTTCACTGGGATGATTGTAGACCTTTGATTCCCAGTTACATCCCATTGCTTACCCAAGATCTCCGTTGGTTCTGGATGCGTCAGATTCAGAATGACATCGGATAGTAGGCGGGCATGTAGCTTCTCGTCTGGGCAATGCAGAGGGATCTGAAAAAGGGTCATCGTTAGTTGAGTCCAATAATCAATCAGGTTCCATCGATCCGTAAATTTTACCTCTGGTTGGAAAGGTTTAGGTGTACTGTAGATCTTTGTCTCGCTAGTTTGCCAATCTGAGAATTTCGCAGCAAACAGGCAATTCTGGAAGATGCATTGACAAGAATACGGTATAGCCCACAATACCGTAGTTGAGACTCTTTACCTGTACACCTTGAAACACTCGAAGGTACAGTACCCAAGGTGCACGTCCATCGCCTAATTCCGTGCCAAACAACGATGCATCCGATGTGACTCGTTTTGTTTTCTGAAATGAACAGCTTTGAGTAGTACGGTATTTGGCAATAAGCCAGGAATGCGTACCAACTGCTGGGCGTACTCCACGGCATAACGTCCAGTGGTTTTCCGGGCATTACGTCCACTCCATACGTACACTTCTGAGCCAAAGTCGAAAATCAGAGTCTGCAAAAAGAAATATACCAATTCATGAATTAATAATCAATAAGAACGGTCGAGAGAATCCAAATCAAACGAAAAAAGTGCGCGTTCACTGAAACAATTATGAAGTTTTGGAAAAAGTTGATCTGACCTAATTTGCATGAGAGCAAAACATCAAAAGACGAGTTAGTAATTTGATAAGCGCACCCTTCATAAAGTTTGATAGAACGCACCTCTTTGGCCTGAAGAAACGCAAATCGCGGGTGTTCCCCCTTCGCCACAGACTGGAGTTTATAGTCATCGGTGACTCGGAGAACGAGATTCGTTTTAGCGATAACATTTTCAAATGGTTCGATTGTATTCCGTGGCAAATCGAAATCCGGTTCACCACCACCAAGCAGAGCCATAAAATCTCTTGGACATCCTAAAATTGGGAGAGATCAGCTTCCAACAGAGTACAGGCGATGATCTAAAAAATCTAGGCCACTTGATCAGCATATAAAAACCAATCTCTCATTCACTGGAGGAGTCGGCTTAACAAAAGTGTTTGTTTGCAAAAAATTCCTGGTGGCAGAAAAATTTGGAGCAGTAACGATTCACGAGTCCCACGTGGCCAACACGAAGAGACGCTCGCGGTCACGGCGCGGCGTGTCCAATGGATCAATATGGCACGCTCCAGTTGATCGATGCAATTCACAACACAACTCATCTACAAGAGAAAGCAATTACCTGATACGTTTTCTGCTTTCGATGCAGTACAAAACAAATCCGACTTGGTCGTTATGTGTATACATATTTGAGTGGCCTAAAAAAATTAAATTTAAAAATTAATTTTTCATATGGAGTAAGGCCTGTGCTTACTTTTGTCTTCTCTAGGATGTTACTGTTTTCTCCCTCATACTTGATCAATCTCGTCGGCGTTACTAGTATGAAAACGGCATTCTGATGGATGGACGAGGCTAGTGGGGCCACCAATCTCACATCGACTCTCTTCTCTCCTAAACACTTTGCTTTTATCACTAAATTGTGCCGGTTCCAGAACCCGTGAGTCGGTCCCGGAAAAACGGAAAATTTTCTGAATAGGAAACTCTAACCTGCGACTCGAAT